GCGAGCACTCCTTCTGCCGGCGGTGCATCACCGAGCACTGGGTGCGCCAGGAGCCCCAAGGCGCCCGGGACTGCCCCGAGTGCCGGCGCACCTTCGCCGAGCCCACCCTGGCGCCTAGCCTCAAGCTGGCCAACATCGTGGAGCGCTACAGCGCCTTCCCCCTCGACGCCATCCTGGGTGCCCAGCGCACCTCCTTCCCCTGCAAGGACCACGAGAAGGTCAAGCTCTTCTGCCTCACCGACCGCGCCGTCGTCTGCTTCTTCTGCGACGAGCCCGCCGTGCACGAGCAGCACCAGGTCACCAACGTGGACGACGCCTTCGAGGAGCTGCAGGTGGGTGGGCGGTGGTGCTGGGACGCCCGGGCCCCTCTGGGGAGCTGCCCCCCCATGCGATTCCCGCTTCCCACCTGTGTCTGTGCGTGTGTTGCCGGAGTGTTGCCTCCTTGCGTTCCTCCTTCTCACCCATCTGTACGTCCTTTTTGGGCTGGTGTGCTGTCCCTCTGGGGAGCTGCCCCCCCATGCGATTCCCGCTTCCCACCTGTGTCTGTGCGTGTGTTGCCGGAGTGTTGCCTCCTTGCGTTCCTCCTTCTCACCCATCTGTACGTCCTTTTTGGGCTGGTGTGCTGTCCCCGGGGACTCTACTGTCTATCCATCTGTCTGTCCATCCATCTGGAGCTCTGGACTGCTGCTCCCTTGGGATCCCTCCATCCGTATATTCTGGAGCGCTGTGGGATCTCCGTAGGTGCCCATGGGGCTGGAGCGCTCCCCCCCAGCAGGACCCCCCAGTCCGTCTGCCCCATGCTCCCATCCATGGGCTCAAAGCCCCTGGTGCTGCCCATCCTCAGAACTCAGGGTGCTGCCCTCCGGGAGGGCTTCCCCCATCCCGCAGGCTGCCGAAACGGGTCTCCCGCCCGCGTTGTCCGCAACGGAGACCCAGCTCTGGCTCTGCCTCCCTCCGGTCTCCTGGCTCAGCCCAGGCCGCCCCGGACTGGCCGTGCCATCGAGGACCCAGCGCTGCATCCTCTTCCCACCGCTG